GGGAAGCCAGGATTTTACGGGCTCTAAAAGCGGGGGGTTGATTTCCAGACCTCGTTTTTTTTTTTTTTTGGCTCTGAGAAATAGACCTTGAAATGTGAAATTCGAATATTGTGGTGGATCTGACAGGAACGCTTCCGCGACTGTCGGATGGCCTGCTAAAGGCATCATGAGATACATAGCGAGGAATGTATCCCAATACCCGTTACTTGTTCATCCTCGTGAATGTGTTCGTGGACACATTTTATCGCCACGGTACATCACTATGAAGACTTACGTGAAGGTGATCGTACCAACCCATGAATTCGGGTGCACAGCTGTTCTTCATAGTTTTATGTGCTATTTCAATTCATTTTAAATCAGAAAACTAATGCATTCATGCAAATAAAAAATCACTTTGTACTTTCCAAAAAACCATAAAACTGTGTCACACGTCGTAGAATACTTACGCTAGTGTCCTTCGGGACATCCGTTAAAATTGGAACGATACAGAGAAGATTAGCATGGCCCCTGCGCAAGGATGACACACATAAATCGAGAATACTTCGCTAGTGGCTCCAGGCCCCAGTGCCCAAAAAAAAGCAAATTTTTTTTTTTTTTTTTGAGTTGGGTTGCGGATAAGAGTGCTCATGCGCTGCCATTGACATTCAATCTTTTGCCTTTTTTTAAATTTTTTTCCTCAAAAAAAAAAGCAAATCTTTTTTTTTTTTTTTTTCAGTACGGGCCCAGAGCCCAAGGGTAATACAAACAAAACAGACGACAAGTGGAGGGGTTGCTCGGCGTCCGACCTTCCACCCCCGGTGCAGCCTCACCCCTGTGAACAAAGACACAGAGCAGTCCCAAAAAAAGGGCGAAATCTTTCAGTCTTTCAATTTCTACTACACCTACTAGTCCTAAACCTGTACAGTGTGCAGTGTGCACACAAATCTTTTTTTTTTTGTTAGAGAGTTTTTTTTTTCTGGCTAAGACATTGCAAGGAATAGGAGCGAGAGCGATAGACAGAAATCCAAGTTGCAAAAATTCAGCAAAATCACGAAGTAGTCCAGAGAGTAGTGTACCAAGCAGAGAGCACAATGCACCAAGATACCATCCAAATAAGAACAATACAATGAACTCAAGTGCCAATGTAGACACTCTCTGGTCACACCAACACCCTATCCAATGTCGCTCCTACAGTCTGGCGCCCAGCGTCCAGTCTACACTACTCAGCATATCTAACCTATCTACGTTCATGCCACTGGATCACACCGAAGTTGAAGACAGTTGTACGTGACGTCATCACCAATGCAGACCGCCAGCATACACCAGGTACGTTCTCTCTCCTCCCCTCATCACCCCTCTACTCCCCACCTCATGCCCCTACTACCGGAAGATCACCTTCGCCATCACCTGCAACCACACTGCTCAGCCCGGCTATGGCTGCCGTGCGCCCGCTGCCACTGCAGCCCCCCCTCTCACCTCGTGCGCCCGCGTGCGCCCTGGCCTGTCTGCCTAGCGCAGCATCGCACAGCAGAGCAACAGCGTGGCTGCAATGCCTCTTCAGGCCAGAATGCAGCTGCCTGGGCAGGGCACTTTCCGTAGTGCGGCCCTGTGTCTGGCTGCATGGGCCTGGCTGGGGAAGTTTCCAGTAGCTTACAGTCGGGCCCCAGTGTCTGCGCCAAGGCCCACCTCTGCTTTTACGGGTCTGGGGCCGTTACAGTTGCGCACGTCCCGGCAGCCGTCCAGGCTCCAAGTGTTTGCCACATTCTCATTGGCTCGTGGAAGTTGTGTGACGACAATGCTGCTTTCTCATTCGTTTGCGGCCACTGCGTGATGTGTCGGCCTCCCACTGTGTGTGCCCAGGGCACAACCAATCGGGGCCCTGGGCTCAACTGTGCAACGCAGCTGTTGCTTCTGGAAGGGGCCAGGAAAGGCTCGCGTTGCTTTAAAACCAACTGGTGTGATGCAACTGTCTGACACCACGAAAAGAGGCCTGGCCTCACGTGAATATTCAGGCCCACCTTCACTTAGGGTGGGCACAATGCTTGCTGGGGGCCACAGCCCAGATCACTTGCATGCCTGTGAGGGCCCCGTGAAGGCTCAGTCCTCGCATTCCAACCCCCTTAGCTTCGAAAGTCCGCTGAGATGCTTCTACGCAGGTGCTTTGCCCTTCGGTCTCCGTCTGTATTCAGCCACAATCAATCTGAGGTGCTGTTCTGACGAGCTCCTCTCTTGTGAACCAACGATCTTCCTTTGGATCCATTTGATGCCTGAATGTGACCCGGTACTCCCTCATAAGTTTGGGCGGTCTTCCCCTGCCCACAGGCTTGGGAACAGGCAAGTCTCTATGTTCCAAGATCTCGTCGACGTCCACATGGCCATCCATGGTTGGGGGTAGCATTGACCTCCTTGATGGGAACTGATCTGTTTCAGCGAAAGGTGCAAGCTTGGAAGTGTGGAATACAGGGTAAGTGCGCAGATGACCAGGGATTCTTATGACATGCGAGGGTCCATCCAAATGACTACCCACAATATCCAGGACTTGCCGAGGACCGGACTTGGAATACTGTGGCATTAGCTTTCTAGAGATTCCGAATTCCTATCCCACTTCACTAGCTTTTACCCAGAGACGTTCCCCTACTTGAAATGTGGACTGTTGTATGTGTTTGTTCTTAGAGGCAATCATTGCCTCCTGCGATTTCCTGATGTGTTCGACAACCTGTTGCAACAACTTCTCATACTGGACACCAAACTCTATGGTTCCAGGTGTTGCAGTTGGTCAGGAAGGAGGAAGTCTAGTGCAGATCTAGGCTTCCACCCCAAATGCAGCTGATTATGACTGACGTCGGTGATGATGTGTACAATGTTATTATATAGGCTGGCAATGAGAGGCAGTTTCTCATCCCGGTCATCCTGGTTGGGCTTGATGTCATGCCTTAGGAAGTGCTGCACCACGTGGTTCATCTGTTCCGCTTGGCCGTTTGCTTCGGGATGATTCCCCGAAGTCATTTGGAGTTGGCTGCCCATCTGTTTAGCAGCCCTCTTCCACATCTCGCTGGTGAATCGGACATCTATGTCACTAATGATGGTCTTGACCCTTGGGCAGTCCAAAGTCACGTACCTAGTTATCCATAAATAGCTCAATTAAGTGCTTAGTCTTGTGTTATCGGAGGAGTGAAAGCGCAGTTTCTACATGTTGGGCATTCTCTTCGACTGTTCTACTAAAGATAAGAATATCGTCGGGGTACACGACGACAAACTTATCCAAGTGGTCATGAAACACCCACTTATCCAAGTGGTCATGAAACACCCTGTCTGTGGCATGCTTG